TGGGAGAATGAGGCTAAGCTGCAGTTTTCATTATTCTTATGACAACTGAGTAGAATAAAACAAATTAAAATAAAAAGAACATGCATAAAACCAGCATAAATTGTTTTATTTTCTTTATATTTTTTATATGTCATTTTTATAATATCTTGAATTATAAAACAGGATGAATTTTTTATTCTCCTAGCTCTCTCTTCTTACCAGTAATCTTCTTACTTAAAGTTTTATGACAATTTTTGGAAACTTCTTTTTCAATAAAATTGAGACCAATGGCATATAAAGAAGAAAGTTTTAAGGCTCCAAAGAATTATTCTTTAGCATCATACCTTTTTATGTTTTGTATGAAGATAGAAACCATAAAAAAAGTTCTTAGAACTAAAAATAGCAGGAATTAAGAGGGAGCTTTGTACTTCTTATAGAAATAAAAAATAATGAGATTTTTCATCTAGTTTTCATCATGCAAGTCTTCTTTATCATTTAAACATAATACTAAGAATCAAATCAGATGGGAATAATATTAAAATTCTCTGGTCTTACTTGATGTAATGAACAAGAATGTCTTACCAGTCTTGTATGCTAATTAATTAAGGGATTTATAGGTTAACAAGAAACATTATGGCTGAAGGCAATGGATATCCCATGCCCCTCCACATTTGTCAATGTCATTTCAATGCACAATGGCCAATAATTGAAGGCAGTAGGAGCAGAAGAGTAAAAATCCATTTAAGCACCAATGACCTTAACCCCAGTGACTTGTACTATTTTTCACGGGCTCTGTGAAATTTCAGTGAGATATCTTTGATAGCTTAAGAGTTATCAATATTAGCATCAATGTTAAAGTCGAAGGTCAGACTGTGTGTGTTTAGTGGCTTGGCTCTATACTAAAAACAAGAAATAACTATAAGCATAAAAGTTTGGATTCAAGCATCAATGTTTCAGTTAAATGATAATAAAAACAAGTTCTAATAGGCTTTCAAAGGAGCTTTTCAATTTTGATTCATGGGAAAAAATTACTAGGCCTGTGCATGCATGACTTTGATAATAAAAATTAATGTTATTAACAATAGAATTAAAGCTTGATTGATCCAAAACATTTTTCTTTTATTTTGTATAAGTAACATATTTTTTAACAAAATTTTAAAATGCATTGATATTTTAGATAGTATAGTTTCCTGACGCTATCACAATTTTTGTAATCAAAATAATACAATTATGGTTTCTGAACAAATTAATTAGGTTTGAAAAACTGACACCAATTGCAATCCCTGGAATCAATATGTTTCAATTATAGGAAATTTTCATCAAAACTCAATAATCATTCAGAACACCTTTGACCATTACATTATTTTTATTGTTTACCTTGAACTGGTTTTCTTTGAAACCATATTGCCATGACCTAAATGAAATTGAGTGTGTGTGTTTAAACTTATTTATACTCGCTACCAGTTGCCCATTTAATTGGCAAGTCCTCAAGAAGAATACTAGTCATTTTTGTATTTTCTGATCGCAAGATCAGATAAATACATAGCTAACATCCACAGTCTGACACAAAATTTCCTAACAGTCCTAACAACGCAAAGTAGTTCTCACTCAAAACTGCTTAAAAACAACCAATTTAAAAGAAAGAATAATTTTTAATGTAGGCATTTAACGAATTACAGTGCATTAAAAGTTTAGATAAGTCAATAGAAATATGAGGTTACAATCACAAATTTCGCGGATGAATATCTTTTTACTCAATGAAAAATGTTCGGCTATTTCCGTAAAGCTTCGGATTATCATGAATATCATTTTAATCAATGAAAATGCTATTTTTAGCTATGCCGATTACCGAATACTCCAGAGCGTAGTACACAAATAAATCTGACTGTCGAGTAGTGGAATATATATACATGTCGGACTGTTTTGGCGAGAATATTTCCGATAAATTATTTTCATCAGTGTTAAACAACACGTTTACCGTGAACAAAATACCTCGAAATTAATAAGGATTACAAACACGAAATAGAAATTCTCAATTTAGAATTACATAATGTATTCGTTTTTATTCAAGGTTCATATGTATAACTTCGCCGTGGTGCAGAGGTAAGCGGTCTCGTTGAGGGTGTGAGAGGCCTATGGTTCAAATCCTAGTCGAGGCAATTCTATTTTTTTTTCATGCAAAATTCCATATGTAAATCTCAAACTGTTATAGAAAAAAATCAAAACGCTGTCACTGCGTAAGATGAATTATAGTACTAGTATATAAAAGAACTAATACAGGAAAGTACATACAGATAGTCAGTATGATTTAGATTGCAAAGATCAGAAAATACCATAGAGCTGCAGCCCTTTGATTTATTTTGGAAAATAGTGCAAGATATAGATACAGAAAGATGCACTAATTCCAGAAGCTTCTCCTAGTTCTGTAGCATGCCAAATGTATAAGCACTCATACACAGTCTCATAGGAAAAACTGATTAGCAATTTGATTTATCTTGACCAATACAAATAGATGACATATTTTAGCATCACCATGGATATAATTTACCTTTATTATGATCTAGATTTAACTGATATGTTTTAAAAGCCATCTGGCCATATGAATATAAAACTTATTTTATTCATTACATAAAACAAATAAATCTATAAAAGTTTAATAGAATTTTAAAATAAAACAAATATTTTCTGAGACAGTTGATATCAACTAATTATTACACATGTACAGTGGAGCATTGCTAATCAGACCCTTCTAATCAAGAAACCTTTCTAATCCGATCTTAATTCATCTGGTCTGGACGAGTCCAGATTAGACAGGTTCCACTGTATATATATCCCAATATCCTGATATGTATTCTAATCTATTTTTTCTCAGTAATATGAATCCTTTTATCATTTATTCAAAAGGAAAGATACAAGATTTATGTCATTAGGAGTTGCAAAGGAAATGTCACATAATTCAGTAAAACTTTAAGTCACATAAGTTCAAAACAATATTTATTTCTTTTATTTCATGCTTTCTGAAATATTCTATGTAATGTTGAGACAATTTGTAATCTGCAATGGGTCCTTCGAGGAAAAGCAATCTTTTACAAAGCTTTAGGATTAAATTGGTTATAGAGCTACGGGGATATATAAACATATCGTAGATTGTACAAAAGGCATCCGAGACACTTAGATTGCTAAGTGCAAAACTTATAACCATTCTTTATTTCATTTTTATAGTAAAACCAATTTTTCATCAAACAAAATAATGATAATCATTTGTTCAAATTTATTTTAAAACCTTTTCAGCAGTTTAAAAGTTAAATAAAGAGCTGACATGAAAATGTTACAGATAGACAGACAGACAGACAGACAGACAGAATGCTGCAGGGGATTAAAAATGACACTGTAATAACTTACAAACAACAAACAAAATATCTTGGAATACATGTTCCTTTTTTTCAAATAATTCATGCCAATGTGCAATTTCTTTTGAGTTTATTATAATGCTCGTTTTGCTTCATTGGCAAAACCAAATTAAACAATAGATAATACGCTAGACTTTGCAATTTTCGTAACTTTTGATTAAATAGGGCAAATTAAATTATACTGTATGAAATCTTGTGACATTTTAACACACTAATTCTGGGACATATCTATCAAATAGTTTTTCAATTGACAATAAAATTACAGATTCCACCAGAAACAATGAATAAATGCATGTATTTAAAATAAACCATGCAGAACAGGTATGTATCATCTTTTAAAACATTATAATTTCCCAGAATTCCTGTTAAGTTTTTGTCTGCAGTTGACAGCTGTTAATGACAGAAGCTTGAATTTTCTAGGGAATGAAACAACACATTAAAATTTCAATTTAACTACTATAGCAAAATGTTAAATTCAGACTTAAATTACACTACTAGACAATTTAAGTCAAAATTGGTCCCTCGATGTATGTTTAAAAAACAATATCTTTGTTGAGTGCAAATGTACTGTTTAGAATAATTTTGTTAACTTTATAGAATACTTGGATGAAAAGTTAAATTTTTACAAAATTTTCAAAATTGATAGCTTTTTCAAAATTGATAGCTTTTATGAAAAATCCAATTTAGTGCGCAAAGTTGCAAAACATGAAAGAAAACGGTATCTGTCTAATTTGTACATTATTTTGTGAATACAAATTAGACAGATACCGACAAAACCAACGGATGCACATATGTATTTACACTATAGCTCATTCCATCCACGTCACCAAAAAGCAAGTATACCATATAGCCAAGCCGTCAGAATACGGAGAATATGCAGCACTGACGAACAATTTGAAATATGCACAAAACAACTTACGGAAAACCTTATTGCACGCGGTTATCCCAGAAAATTAATATACGAAGCCATCAAAAAAGCCAAAATTACCAATCTTGATACCAATGTCGATACTAAATCACAAAAGGAAATTATACCGCTTATAATTACTCATTACCCGCTTATTCTAAGGACAAATAATATCAATAAATTAAGAAACATTCTACAGCAGTTATCATAGAGCCTTCAATGTGACATTCCATAAAACCATACCTTCTGACACAATTGAGTTTATTCAAAGATGTTACTCTAGTTTCCTTTTTTATCTCAACTTTCTTTTCCTTTTCTTTTTCAATCAGAAAAATATTCAACCAGAGTCTTCAACCTGCTTTTTTTTGGGCTGGTGCTCTAGCATCTGAACAGAGTTATAACCATTGTTCGGTTTGGTTTATACAAAATTTATTTTAGTTCAATTGTGTAGGAAGCTATATTAATACATGTATAAGCTTATAGAAACACTTTCGAATCCGTTCATGGAACCAACCAGTACTGAGCAATGAGTGTAAAGTTTACTGCTCAAGGAAACAACGACTTGCCCCTGACGGGGTTTGAACCCATTAGGCTATCATGAGTTCATGAGATTACTAGTCTGATGTGTTAACCACTTGGCCGTGCAGCTACTGTTCGGTTTTATTTTCATTTGGCCTTTATTGTGCTTAAACCATCACTTACCTTTCCATTTGCAACCACCTCGGCAAAGCCTAGTCCAGCTAGTTTCCAACTTCCTGTTTTTGTAACAAGTACAGATTGAGGACAAACATTACGATGAATCATCTGTTCAGTACCATGTAGGTATGATAATGCTTCTGTTATCTGAAAGAATAAATGATAATAACTTTTGAATAGACAAACAAAACAATTATTTTCCTTTATCTTATGTATCAAATCTGATATAAATAGTATTATTATATAATCTATAGATAGCTTTGAAATGCCTTTCCCTGATTGGCTAACAAGCAACTTTTTGTAAAAAATAACAGGTCAATATCAGAGTATATTCACTGTTTTTTCTTCTAAAAATAGATTTTCTGGAAATCCCCCCGAATGACGCGAGACTATGACGTGACGTCACGCCAAGTCAGAAAAAAACGTTGAGTGACTCGTAAATAAGAGTCAAGTTAGTCTATTTTAGTTACCGTCTTAACATTTTAAAGAACAATATGAATTAGCGTGCCAATGTGCTAACTTAAAAGAAAGGGCCAAATTATGGAAAAAGTAGACAAGCTGAAAAATAATGATTTCCGTCGTATGCAAATTGGCAAATTTGATTAGCCATATTAAAAGATATTTATAAATTGTATAATAAAACAGCTTTGTACTTTTTAGCTGTTGAATATGATGTGATATGTACTGAAAAATTAATATTGACCGAGGCGATATTGATTTTTACAGTACATATCACATCATATTCAAGAGCTAAAAAGTCCATATTTGTATATTATTCTGCAACCTGGAATATTTCAAATACATAAATATAATTATATACCTCTGGCAAGGATATTGTGTGAATATTCTATGATAAATTCCCTTTTTGACCATATTTATCATCAGTTTCTTTTATACAGTTTAATAAATGCCCCCTTTTGGAAAATCAGAGAAATCAATTTAATTTCCTTAAAATAAAATCAGTAGCCTCAAGCTGGGTTATTACAAAATGTCTTCCTTCTGAAACATAAAAAATTACTTTACGAAGATAACATGAAAACTCCCAAAATTCCAGACCTCATTCTGAATTCCATTTCTTGAAGGCATATTATATGTAAGAACAGATAGTATGATTGAATCCTGCTTTCCTGATTCTTTTAATATTATTGGAATCAATCTTTTCTTTCCATTTACTTCATGTCAATTCTTTTTGAATATATTTAATTCAATTTATTTGCAATAATCCATTATGAAGGCCCGGGTGTCTGGGGGGATATTGTTGTTGTAGACTGAATGCTCTCTTGGTTTACAAGGTTTGGGAAATATCATCATCGAGAAATATCAAAACTGAATAATGCAGAGATGTGCAGACAGATTGGGAATAGATCATTGTCTATGGCTGCATGGATACATCTTTTTATCACATACCTGTGCCGCTTTTCCGACTCCGTAAAAATGGTATTTGCACAGCGGTGAATATATTTTGATGTGACATCATTTGCATTATACAAACATCTGGTAAAGAGGTGCTAAATGATAGCCTTAAACTTATTATACAGGCACCCTGATGAAAAATTACTCTTTTTCACTTTAAACAGTCTTTATTTTTGGTATGTGATAAATAGAATATTTAATTTGTGTAAGTTCATTACTGAATTTATTGATATCCTCTATGTCAATGCTAACAATATCTCCATAACAGAGATACTCCTGAACCCAGCAATTTTATTATGTGGGTTTTGCCCAATCTAATATTGGTGTACAGTTACAACTAAATGCATTGAAAATGACTGCAGTGTAGTGAATACTTTATTGTCACCAGTAGTGCACCATGAAGCTGTAACGGTAAAAGATTGTTTGTTATTAATAATCCGGGAACAGACAGGGGGAAAACCAATGTTTCCTGAATTCAAGATAACATCATTCTAGCTAATAACTAAACAATGTTTAATCCAGTCTATTTAATCCAGTCTGATTCACTAACTGTTATGTTATTTTGTTTCATCTATGGACACATTTATAAAGATAACTAAGGCTTGAAATCAGACCAAAACACCATAGTTCATTGTGAAAACAGCCCAAAATATTTTTTTTTAAATTAGCAGGAGATCCTGTAGCAAAATTTTTAATGGTTTTATATCATAACTATGATGCTCAAATTAAAGATTTTTCAATATTGTAAGTTCCAAACATTAAACTACCGGAATATCTTTTGTAGAAATTAAGGGTCATTCCTGTGAAGTTTTGTCAATATTTACAAAAAAACAAAGGGTAGCAACACAAGACTGACATCATGTGATAACATCTTAACTCTCCTCTTTTTATGGTATGTAGCATGCGTCTTTAACAAACATTATATTCATTGCTCTCGATTATTAAATGATCTATATATTCTCAATTCTGAAAATCACTTCATTAAATTTAAAAAACATTATATCATGTAAATTTTAACTAAATTTCTGCATTTTTATATCTGAAATTGAATTTAGAAAGTAGACTAGCCTCAGAAATACACAGATAATTGCCAATTTTGACAGAAATGTTTAATAGTCCTGAATAATTCATTTCAGAATGAAATAAATACAAATTAAAGCACTGCCTGGAGGGAAAACAAGATTTGATCATTCTCACAAATTCTCCAAATTCCATTTAATTTTGTATAAAACATAGAGATTGTCCAAATCTACCACCATGTCTGGATACTTGAAAAACACTCTTCGATCTTGTAAATAATTATCTCATAATGGATTTAACATTGTTTTGTATGTTCAGGCAGAATTAATGCAGTTTCAAAAATCATCATCATAATAAAAGACAATTTAAGTAGAACAAACAATAATTTCTACCACAGTATCTTAATCAGCAAACTTAGCTACTTTTTTGTCCAATAAAAAAGGCTTAAAAGTTAATCTTTTGTTTGACAATAAAAAGACATAAATTTTTTTTTTGCTTTTGACAGTCTATTTCATATAAACAGTCTTCAATAGCATTTGAGCCGCGTCACGACAAAACCAACATAATGGGTTTGCGACCAGCATGAATCCAGACCAGCCTGTGCACCCGCACAGTCTGATCAGGATCCATGCTGTTCGCTATCAGTTTCTCTACTTGTAAAAGGGTTGGTAAGCGAACAGCATGGATCCTGATCAGACTGCGCGGATGGGCAGGCTGGTCTGGATCCATACTGATCGCAAACCCACTATGTTGGTTTTGTCGTGACACGGCTCATTTATCTAAACATTCATTTAAAGATCTCATCTTTTATGAAAAACACTATATGCATCTATGAAAAGTAGGTGAATGACTTAGGTACAGGCTATAAATAAGAAAAAAAATTAATTTCTGAAACAGCTACAGTCACTCCTACTTTGCTCCTTTTGAGCTGTTTAAATTGTTATTTTTTATCATAGGCTTCTAACTATTACAAAGACCATACTATGAGGTCAAACATGTTCTATAATGGTTATCTTATAAAGACCACAGTAAAATGAAACACTTGGAATTAAAAAAAATCTGATAATGACAATAGTGCAGTCCCACCTTTAGGATTAAGACAATCTTATTAACACAACAGTGAATTCAAAACATTCTTATTTTGACCAGTACAATGCATTCAAACCTATAGGATGAAGACAATTTTATAAACACCACAGTGCAGTCAAACCTTTAGGATTAAGACAATCTTATCAACACCACAGAGAATTCAAATCAATCGTATTAAAACCAGTACAGTGCATTCAAACCTATCGGATTAAGACAACTTTATAAACACCACAGTGCAGTCAAACCTTTAGGATTAAGACAATCTTATTAACACCACAGTGAATTCAAAACAATCTTATTAAGTTCACATTGTAGTCAAACCTATAGGATTAAGACAATGTTATAAACACCACAGTGCAGTTAAACCTTTAGGATTAAGATAATCTTATAAAGACCACAGAGCAGTCAAACCTTTGGGATTAAGACCACAGTGCAGTCAAACCTTTAGGATTAAGACATCTTACTAAGACCACAGTGTTGTCAAACCTTTTGGATTAAGACAAACTTATTAAGTCCACAGTCCGCCTGCATTCAAACATTTGGGAATTAGAAGATCTTAAAAAGACCATAGTGCTGTTAAACCTTTTGGATTAAGGCCTTCTTATTAAGACCACAGTGCATTCAAATCTATGACATTAAGACAATCTTATAAAGGACCACAGACCAGTCAAACCTTTGGGGGATTATGGCAATCTTATTAAGACCACATTGCATTCAAATCTATAGGATTAGGACAACATTATTAAGACCACAGTGCATTCAAATATTTGGGATAAGAACCATCTTATTAAGACTATAATGCAGTCAGACCTTTGGGAATTGTACAATCTTATAATGACAAAAGGGTAGTGAAACCTTTGGAAATCACACAAACCCTTAAATAAACACATAGTGGTATTAAGACAATATATTTTAAAGACAGTGTTCTAAAAGGCTACAATAAAATCTATCACTTCATGACATTGATCAATTTCATCTTTTCCAATGGAAATTTTAATTTGCTAAATTTTTGAGAAAAAAAATCTGTTCATATTGCTTATTTTTCTCTGGTCTTTGAAGACATGTTTGACTGCTAATAATAATGCTAATAATGTTAAGGTCAGACCACAGGAACAAAATTACTCATTTATTCATATTATGCTGACTATTTTCATAATTTTGAATAAATCAAGCATCCACCGAGACAGATTATGCAAAAGTTGGAGACTGCTCTAAATTGGCTTGTATTTTCTAACAGATGCTTGATGGAAATCCAAATTATGTTTGGCATTTGCTGATTTCCCTCTTGGATCAAAGAGGATGCTCCTTTCCAATAGTTTGATATATGTTTTTCAAATCTAAACAGATTAAATTTGTTTTTCCTGATTTTCTAAACAAAATATTTGATAAAACATTGCTTGAAACAAATCAGACAAATCTAAAAGAAAACAACAACATTTTATGTAAATTTTTATTAAATTTGATGAAAAGTTTGCAAAACTAATTATTACAATATTTTAAAAAGTCTAAAATGTCTAATAAGCAACACAGTCAATTCATAATATAAGAGGTTTGTTTTGCTGGATTGTTTAAGTCCCATGACGTCACACAAGGCAGGGTGACAGTGTTAACAGAGGAATTCCCCA